GTGCATTTTACTACAAAGCAGATGACGACCACGCCCATAGTCCATTATTGAACCGGTCTGCCTGTGAGGTTAACAAATAATCCTTGCCACCGAAATTTCGCTTTCTTTATACCCTGAACTGTGTATATTAAGTTTGCCGCGCAGTTTGTAAGGCCCAGAAGGAAATGTCGGAGACCCTATAAAATATATATATGTATATGATCAGCGTAACGAGCTGAGCCATGATTTAGCCACGTTCGTCTGTCTGTATATACACGAACTAGTCCCTCAGCTTTTGAGATATCGACCTGAAATTTTGAACACATCCTTTTCACCCCAAGAGGCTGTTCTTATGTTGGAACCTCTATAGCATATAGCTGCCATGTAAGCTGAAGAATAAAAACAAGTCCTTATATGAAAAACTATATTTGACGAGACATCTTTATAAAATTTGGCAAGGTTCAAAGCAACGCTAAAATATTTGAAAAAATTTTCCAGATCGGACCACTATAGCAAATATGCCATACAAATTGAATGATCAAAATCAAATTCTTGTATGAAAATTTTGTTTATTTGACGAGATATCTTCACAAGATTTGGCAGGAATTATTGTCCAAAGCAACGTATGAAGAAATTTTCCACTGTAACATATAGCTGCCATACAAACTTTACGATTAAAATCAAGTTCTTTTCTGAAAAACTTTTTTTTTGATTCTCGTCACAAAATTTGGCAGGGATTATTGTTTAAAGTAATGTTAAAATATCTGAAGAATATATCATATAGTTATTAAGTTCTTGTACGGAAACTTCTTTATTTGTGAAGGGTATTCTAGCTTCGGTGCAACCGAAATTCATGTTTTTTCTTGTTTTAATAATTTTTTAATACCCTATATAAGAAAACGGCGTGATTAGGCCGATTTCACATATTTCACGCTGTGAAGAAATATCTGGTAGGGCATGAGGTATGTTCAGTAAGCCCATTAGAAGATGACTTCCCAGTGTAATCCATTCTCAGTACCCAAAAACGGAATTGAACTGTTAGATTTTAACCACTTCAAAAAATCCCAAAAACTAAAAATTCATACCTGGCTATATAGAATTAATATATGTATGTAAGCTTAAAATAAAAATAAGGTAATTAAGTAAGAGTAAGTTGAGTATTAGAAATAAATTATGTTTAGCTGAAGTAGTACAATAAACTGTAAGAAACCATTTCGATAACTTAATAATAACAACAAAGCTGCGAAAGAATACACAACAAGAAAGTCCGCACCCACCAAATTGTAGAGCAAATAAAACAAAGAATAAAGGCACAAATATTTTTTGTTTTCTCCGTAAGAGATATATTTGTTATATATATATAGTACTTCTTTTTAATTACAGCATATTTTATAATAATCTGTATTAAATAAAATTTTCTTGTCTTCTCTTTGCGTTTTTTTTTTACATTAAAATATGAAAATCATTTTTTTTAATTTAGTTTTATTTCATTTAATATTAAATTAATTTTATTATACTAACAATTTTACTTAATTTTAAATACAATATGCTGATATATGTATGTATGTATGTACTCTTCGCATTTTATATGTTTACAGTTACAACAAAAGTTGTTACATATTGTTTTTTGTGTTTTGTTTTTATTTATTGTATTACAAAAAGGCAAAGTCAATGCCAGCCGATAGTATTTTGTTCTTGTTGTGTTTTTAATCCTCCTTCTCCTCCTCTTATTCTTTTTCTATTTCTAGTTTTTTTTTTACATTACATTATGCTATTTTTGCTTTTGTTGTTGTTTTCTTTAGGTTTTTTTCTTTTGATTTGTTGAATCGGTTGAGCCAGTTCTAGTTATATAATTATGCAATAATATTAGTTTACTAGGGCGGTCTGTGTTTCCTTGCAAAGGAAAAGTACATGTTTTGCTTTTTACTTCTATTCGAATAATAACTGTGCTAATATTCTGCCCGCCTTGTTGCATTCTAACGTCATTTTTACGCCTCTTCTTCTACTTCTTCGCATGCATCTCTTGTGTACTTGCACGATTTGCTTCGATGCTCACATACAACACACATTTTTCAATTTTTTTCTATTCTCCTTTACACACACACTTCTACATTTGATTTTGTAATTCAAAACATTTTCTTTTTTGTTTAAAAAATACGTTTTTTTCATTTGTATTTTTTATGTTTTGCATTAATTTGCTTACAAGTGTATGCAAGTTAGTATGTATGTATGTATCGTCTGCACATTCGAGCACTTATGCAAAACGCTTTTCAACGCATCACAACGCGCATACCTAAAAATTATGTAGTCAATCAGTTAAATTATATAAATAATATTGAGGGTTTGAGCGTGTGTGACGAATAGGCGGAGGTGTTAGATAGATGAATCGTATGCAATGATAAAGATAGGTATAGCGTGTGTATCAAAAAACGGGACTCGGACTGACAGATTGCCATATAAATACTTTTTGTTAAGCTGAGTTCTTCTCTTGAATATTTTGGTGCCGGGTTTTTGAAAATAATGGTAGCAAACTTTTCAAAAAGTCAAACATTTTTAATATTTTTGAAAATTTTAGCAATTTTGGCGCTGATATAACGTTAATATAATGGTACGGCCATAATATCAAATTTTTGAAAATCAAGTATCGAAATTTTTAATAGTGCAGTAATTTTTTTTGGAAATTCTAGTACCAAAATTTTTTAATATTTTGGTAAATTTATATTTTATTTCTTGGAACGGAATTTTTAGAATATTTTGATACATCTTTTTTCTGAAATTTGTTTACACTGTAAACAAATTTAAACTTTTTTTTTATGAAGTTTCCAAACTGTTTCTTACTAGTTTGACGTTTCTTTCTAGCAGCTATAGTTTTAATGATACAGGTACTTCTTGAAATATCGATACTCGGCTTACTTGAATTAATTTTTAGGACCAAAAATTACTAAATTTCATAAATAAACCCCATGTCAATATTAAGAGGAACTTGTTTAAATGATCCGAATAGTTTTTGTGCTGTTTGTGGTGACTATATGTTTAGAGAATGCTGTTTAAAAGCATATTTGGACCGCTTTGGGAAGCCATTACATAGAACATAACTGGCTCATATGCGTCGATTTTCAAATGGTAAATTTTCTTTTGGGTCGACAAGGAGGATATACCAAATACCCCTGTTAAATGTGGGGTGCGTTCCAGCTACGAAATAACAATATCAATACCAGGTAGTATGAATGTGAGCCAGAGGCCACATTGTATTACCCCCTCTTTATATAAAGTTAAATCTGATAAAACAGTTTGTAAAAACTCTAAACAAAGATGGAGAATGTTTTAAATATTGTATATCTGTTGAGCACAGAAAAAAAATTAAAGCTGGTATTTTTGACGGTCCTCAAATCAGGGAACTAATAAAAGACCAACATTTTACTGCTGGTATGACCGATAATGAGAAATCTGCAAGGATTGAATTTATTTGGATTGTGCAAAATTTCTTAGGAAATAAAAAGTCTCCAAACTACATTCAACACATTGAACAGCTCATGTTGCACTTCCAGAGGCTAGGATGTCACATGAGCATCAAGATGCACTTTCTCTTCCGCCATTTAGACCGCTTCCCAGAAAATTTAGGCGACTTAAGAGAAGAACAAGCAGAACGCTTTCATCGAGATGCTCGCACTATGAAAGACCGATACCAGAGTCGTTGGAATGCAAATATGATGGCTGAATACTGCTGGAGCATTCAAAACAAGACTATTGTTTCTACTCATGCAAGAAAAGCACAGCAAAGGAAGTTTTTTTCATGTAAAGTTAGAGCAATAACATATATTTTTTAATTCTAAAATTTTTGTTTAAAAATGTAATTAGTTCATATTTCGAAAACTAGAGCTGCTAGAAACTGACTACTGATTTGGAATCAGCGTGGCAAACTCATACATAATCGGGTAAAAAGTTCTAAACTAACATTTTTGGTACCCTTTTTTTTGAAATATTTGAGAGTTTTTTATGTTTTGCTACCGTTTTTTAATGATTCTCCAATCCCTTTAAACTTGGTATGTATTGAAAAAATTTTGACAGGAGTAGAAATTTGTTTACAAAACGGGGAAATTGCCACTAAGTAGAATCTGACGAATGTCGTAATCAATATTGAAGTTTTACTTTAAATTTAACAAAAACAACTACAATAATAAAATAAGTATTTGGCGAAGTTCACTCAAGGGCATTTTGAAATATCATTACGCAGCGACACACATTAAAGAAAAGCATGATTTTATGGTAAAATGTCATTGTAAAGCGTTGTGAGCGTGTGTGTGTGTATATGTAAAGGCAAGAAAAAACGGAGCAGCACTTTTTAAGATGATTTAAAAAAAATGTAACAACACTCTGTTAGTATTAATCTAAAGAAATGATTTCTTTACAGTTTATCAATATAGGTATTTATGTAGATTATTATATGCTGGTATATATGTACGCATAATGCTTTTAAAACCCATTTTACTTTAGTAATAGCAATACATTTTTCCTTTATAAAAACACCTGGTGCCATTTTAGAAGCAAAAATCCTAAGCGATTGTCTATGAAAAAAGTTTTTTAACGCTCAGTGTTCTTACTAACGTTGGGGCTTGCGCTATGCGGCAAACATACAGGGTGGCGCAAAAAATTTTAGATCATTTAAACTAAATTATTATTGTTTTTTATACAAGTATAAAATAAAATTGCAATAAATTAATTAAATTAAAACAAATATAGTGAATTGAATTATATATCTCAATAACAATTGATAAGTTATAACTTTTAACATTACGAAAATTAACTTGAAAATTTTCTGCTAAATTTGCATTGCGCCACTCTATATGTCTATGGTATGTAATCTATTAAACCTACTTCAAATTAAATCAGCAATATATATGTACACATATGTACGTAAATTTGTAAACTGATTATAATATACTATACTCGTATGTATATATGATGTAAATATAAAGGCGAATATATATTCAAAATTAAATGTAATGAAAATTAACGGGAAATCAGTGAGTGAAAATAATATATAATTTTATTGCATACATTTAGGAGTTTACGCCACTTTCGGCTGCTTACTTTTAGACGTATTAGCAAAAGTTCATTTGTAACAATTACCACCGCAACTATTTCTGACATAACATAACTAAAATTCGAAAGCACAAAGGGTCTCTCTCAATCCTCCAGAAGACCTCAAACATAGCGGAGCGAAAGATCAAAAGTGATTAGAGCAAGGCGCCTAAAAGCGTGCTTACTTTCTTTGTATACTTTTTCCTATTATGCTGCTCTATGATCCACTATGTTTTAGGTCTAACATGTTAAAAATTCATTTCTTAAATTAATTTCTGCATTACTTACATAAAAGCTACATAACATCCTCACTTATAGATTTGTATTTTTTTCAGTTTGAGTTAAAAGTTTACTATTTTGTGTCTTAGTCTTACCGCATTATTTTACAATTAAATTATCTATAATGTTTTCTGTGAATAACACGCAACTATTTACTTAAGTTCAAATTTTTAAATCTCATAGAAGATAGTTTATATGAGATAAGAGTTTATACCAATTAAAAAAAAGCTAGATTCTTTGTAAGTTGAATTTTTTTTTAAATTTTACCCACAATTGCAGTATTTTACAAGCATAAAAAGAAACGGTTTATTTTAGAGAGATTTCTTTATTTTATAGGGAACCCAGCCGAATCTTTCAACAGGTCATATCGACGGTACTAACTGTTAGAAAAAAAACAGTTTTTCATAACTTTTGAGTTATTTTCGGCGAAACACACTTGTTTCGGGACCAACATTGTGAGCTTCGAAAGTCACCAGTAAAACTTTTATAGAAATGGAAAATCACATATTTTTGCCGAGCAATCTTTCACAAAATCGAAGATTTTGCCCATCAATCGACGTATATCATGTCCAAGCGAAAACATAGGTCCACAAAAGATACTTCGTTCTAAAGGTTACATCAGTTTTAACGCCGATAAGGACTTTTTTCGAAAAATTAATTCAAACAAATTTTAATGAAATAGTTTCTCCAAGTCAGTTACTAATTTCAAATTGGTTACTCGACTCAGAAAGCATATAGTCTAACATCAATATTATCTGGTAGTTTTTTTACAATATACAAAAGAAAGCTTTCGTGCAAGTACACCCACAACAACTGCTACAACTTTCTACATTTAAATACAATATACATAAGCTTAAGTAAGTGCAACATCCCAGCTCATGCAAAAATATACAAAATATTTATAGAGAATACCAACAATTCAGCACAACACCCGTACGGAATTTACGGTTCTGACTCGTTGGGTGCAGCCGATGTGGACTCCATAGCGTTCGTGGCTAGCGACGATGTGGCAGCCGAATTGGAGGACACACTTGTGCCGCTACTTACACTGCTGCCACGACGATTGCTTTGCATTTGTTGTTGTTGTTGTTGTTGGCGGTGTTCATGTGCGTAGTATTGTTGTTGAGTTAGTGCGTCGCCATACAGCTCGGTGCTGACATCGACGCTATGAATACTGGGCGATGAATCGGTAAGTTCCAAACATTGAAAATTTTGTTCATTCTCCTCGACCATTTCCTTTTGTTGTGCTTTTTGTTGTGTATTTTTGTTTTCAATTTTTATTGCATTTTTTTTTTTGCATGAGTTTTCCACGGTCGCATGCACCAGCGCCAGTGCATTACAAGTTGGCGGGCGGAAATGGTAAGCAAACAAAAACCGTTATTTGTGAAAAAAAATAGAGAAAACGAGAGAAAAGAGAAAAAATTGCAAACATTAAATTTACAAAAAGCTTCCCATTCTTACAACAATTGGACTTAAAGGCGATGATGTTCTAATGTTTCTGATTTTTCAATGCGTTCGACATGTTTAGCAAATGCAATGTAGGTGAATGGAAGCAAGTGTGAACAAAACAAAACCGTAAAAATGTGTGTGGTAGTTGATGTAAAATTTAGCACATTTTATATTTAAATCATCATTTGGTTTTTGGCTCCAAAACCCGAAAATCCCGATAACTTTTTATTCATGACTTATGAATTCATTTACTAAGTATAAAAAGTCGATCCTAACTGTACGGGGTTGCACAATTGCGCTTTTTTCCTAATGTTAATCCACATATGTAAATTTAATTACTAATAATATAACAAACGTTGCCTACATTTGGCACGTATCAGACAGAAGGACGAAGTATAGACCTTTAGAACATTACCCTGCAACATCATGCTATCATTATTTACCAGAGAATGCTACCAGAGATGTCTGTTAAAATTTCTGTTAGTTCATTAAGGCTGAATTGATGCAACTAACCGAAACTGTGATTGTTCATCCCTTTCTTAAGCATAAGCATTTCTATGATAATTCTTTCAATATATTGTAGTTTCGGCAGTCATGACTTGCTGTGTACATTGACTTTCCGCTAATAATGTTAGTGAAGAAACAGGCCGTTTGATATGTTATAACTTTTAGGTAAATACTAGAAAATAAGCGCTAACAATAAAAAATGAGGTTATGTCAACTGAGCTGTTTAAACTCCTTAAATGTATTGTAGAAACCAATATGTTGACCAGAAAAAAAGGAAAAATACTATTACGTCATGCTTTTAACAGAATTGTCTACAAAAATACTCTTGATTTCTCGAATTTCCTCAAAACAGAATTTGTACGGTAATCTAAGAAACCTGTCGACCACAAAAGCTTTCGGATACGTACGAACAAAAGTAACGGTAACAGCAAATAGTTTTCTGCCAACAATTTTGCTAATAAAATTTTATATTTTTTCTCTAGTTAGCAACAAAATATACAATAAAGGTTTATTAAAATTTATTCTTTTCATATTAAGTTTTATACAAAATGTTCCGCTTTGTTTGTTTATAAAAAGAAAAAAACATACATACATACATCAACATACAGATGGTACACTCGCCTATTGCACATACATTGTAAAAAATATACACACAACTAAACAGTTACACAAAAAGAAGACATTAGTTCATAATCCACAAAATTGTACAAGAATTCGGACAATCTATCGCTTAACATCAACATGTGCATTCGTTTTCCGCCTCGTTCAATAGAACTTTGCCACGCTTCGCCTTACGCATCGGCTGACGACGCCTACGCGCGCCAACACGATGTCCCAAATTGAGTAGATCCTCCTGCGGTACATATGGTAAATCGTTAACATCAAAATTAGATGAATCCAACTCGGCAAGACTATTATTCAGGCTATGCGTATCGCTTGAGGGTATTGAGGGCGAATTAAGTTCCATCAAGGGCTCATCGTAAGCATATGCCGCCAACGGATCGGGGGTGTCATCATCGATGTTGCCACGAAAGTAACGCAACTTATTACTTGTACTATCACTCGGGCGTACGGCATTCAATGTGAACTCCAATATACCCGTTATATCGATCATGAAGACGAAAGCAATGACGGCGAGTAGGAAACGTGCCATGTAGAAGGCGTCATTACGTATCCATGACGACAATGTGGGCGCATTATTGGCCAGAAATGACTCATTGGCCACAATCACATACTGGCCGAGAAAGCGACAAATGAAATTTAACAACTTCAAGCTGGGCAACCACACTTGACGCAATAAAAAATCATTGGCGTACAAAATGAGTGACAATTCAATGAAGAAGATTAATGCACGCTGCGGCTTACGCAATGCACTCGGCCATAGTGGACGCAATTTCGTGAGTATACATAGCACAGAGAATACAAATAGACTGGAGGCAACATTGGGCGTCAGCAGTGGCAAACGTGAATACTTTAACTCGATTATGCTAATGCGATTCAAGTGCATAAACAAACCGATCAGCACTATGACGCTCGACTCGATCAACTTCTGATAACGCTGCACCTTTTCGAACTCAAAAAGCATGGCGTCGCAATTTTCGGCGAGTGTTTGAGTGTGCGTTAGTAGTGCGCGTCACTATGACGAATTTTTGCTCTGCACTGCCTTTACACGACGCAATCGCGCGGCTAACTTGAAGGGCGTGAGAGTGTAGACAAGGAGTTGTTTGCTGTTTGGAAACGTTTGCTGAGCTTGTTGTTATTGTTGGATGATAATGATGATGATGTTGATGCGGCGGCGACGTCGTGTTTTGGAATTGGTTTTTGGTTTGGAATTTTACGTGAGTACCGAAATTTGCAAATGCAATGGAAAAATTTTTTGTAACAATTCAATTTTGATGAACTATGTATTTGCTATTTTTGAAATAATTTTTGAGCGGAAAATCACACAAAAATTATTTGTAAAAAAAAAATTCAAAATTATGTCAAAGCAAACACAAAAGTGTTACGATCAACGCAAAGTAGCTTGGCATGTAAGTGTTAAGACTGGACGGAAGTTCGTAGCAAATTTTTAAGTTTTTGAATTTGAAAATTGGTTTCTAAATGGTCAATACATTACAAACGCACTGTGATATTTAATTTAATTTACGGTTTCACACTTTACTGAAAGGTTAACATTTTGTGTGGCATACAATAGGTTTGTTTCAGCTTTTTAGTACTCTTCTTCTTCCTTATAACTAAGGTATTAGCACTTCAGAAACAAAACTAAAATTTCGAAAAAAAAAAATCAAATCGACTGCATGCGTGGCGCCACACGAGCGCGAAAGAAGTGAAAGCTCTTAAGAAAAATTCGAAAAAAGTAGTTTTGTAATTAACATTCGTCTATAGTGAATATTTAAAAGTATAAACTTCATTAAATCAAAGTGGAAATTCTAAGCCAATTACAAAGACGTGTACGTTAGACAATTCGCGCTTCAAAATTAAAATAATGCGGTTTTTGGTGTAACTTTTCTTATGCAATTTCATTTGTTTCCCGCGTGAGCCGTTGTTGCATCCAATTTGCTCTTATTTGTTGGCTTTGCAGCATTAGTACTACTATCACGCTTCTTCTCGTTATATTTCTGCATAATTGCCAACGTCTTTTCCCGCAGAATTTTTCTGCGCTCTCTAATGGCTTTTTCACAATCTTCAGCTTCTTTTAGTTTTTTTGAATTTGTTTTAGCAGACGCAGTTTTAATTGGTGCATTGAGTGAATTAATAGCCTTGGGCAAGATGGCATTAGCAGACGACTCCCCCGTAGCTGTGACCGGCGCCACAATGGTTGTCTCAATGGATACAGATTTGTCTTTTCGAACTCTCTTTTGTACACGACTCTCTTTCGTACAATCCGCCAATGTTTTCCTCTTCCACACTGGCCGTATGTCGGCAGCAATGCTATTACAAATGGCATCAACGGTTGAATTTCCCTGCACAAATGGTGGCGGTAATGTACTTTCTGTTGGTCGAGTCAAAGCACTTAAAATTGCCAAAACGGCTACGCCTGAAAAATCCGTTTGGAACTACTAGTAAAATGTTCACCACCCAAATGTATGTACATATGTGGGTAGTTAATATTGTTCGGCACTTGGTCGAAAATAATTTTCTTTCAGCTCATATGCAAAAACTAACTTAATCGCCAGTGAAATAATTTATTTTTGTTCGGCCTAGTAATAAAGCTACTACGAGTATGAATTCGTGATTTGAAATGGTTAGACTTAACAAACCAGCTGTGCAGGAGTTTTAATGCAATAAGGTATAACCTCAGCTGCAATTAGTTCAAAATTTTTAAAACCTATTTCGATGTTACTTCACTACTCTTGCCTCAACTTAATATCGCAAAATATTTACTTAGCTTAGTTCAATTAAAGGTCGTCTAAATATAGTAATCCCAAGGACTAGGGATTAAACAAACGTTTCTGAAAACTCATTAGCTCTCTTAGCCCAAATATCGCCTCATTTTCCACTCTCTATCACTGAATTACCACACAATCGCTTACTTTTTTTTCTACACGAATGCGCTCAATAGTACCGTTAAACGCTTAACTCCACCAACTCTGCAGTTTAGTCGGGGTTTCACAGCAAAAGTTAAGAGTTCTCGACTTGTTTCATTTTTGTTGTTGACACTAGGTAAGCGCAACAACAACAACATTCATCAAAATAAAAATATTTCGAGCGACAGGCAGTGGAGCAATCAGAGAATTTCTACATAATTTAATATTTCTAATGCAAGATGAGAGCCCTTTCTACAACAACAATAAGCAGTGTTGTTGTACATAAAAAATGTCTAAGAAAACATACGTACTATTATCTCACAACATTGGGACAGTTCTCTTCTGATTTTGGGTCCAGGTTTTTAGTGCGCATGTGTACACCATCTATTTCTTCACAGAAACAAATTCAAAGACAATTAAATTGTAAAACACGCAGCTAGTAAAAAAGCAGCATCGTTGCGCTTAACTAATATAAAACTAATAAATGTAACTGAAACTGTAACTGTAGGTATGTGTGTTTGTGTAGACTAAAGGACTACATAGATACTTATTTTTCGCTTGTTCGAACATAATGTAGTTTTGATTTAATGCCTAGACTTCCTACCTAAACTACTGCTATTACTACTACTATGCAATATATATATATATATATATACATATATATGCATATATAGTAAACTATATATATATTACTTGATTTAATGTTTGTTTCTTTAGTACGAATAAGCGTCCAACGTACCAGTTCGTGGTGGTTGAAAAGCATTACGCTGACTTGCATTGGTGCCGCCATTACCTGCAGCATTGCCATTGCCGCTGCCGTTAATGTTAGATGTGGATACCGCCGAATTTGTAGCGCTAGCGGCAGAAGTTTGCTTAATGGTGGGGCGCCGCTTGGCTAACGGCATATCGTCATCGGAATCGCTGAGCGTTAAATCCACCTGCACACAGAAGGAAATCGAATCATAATTTAAATCAAGGAAGGAAAATGAGACACTCAAAGTAATGCATAAATTTAAATACATAGAGTAGGCACTAACCGTTTCACTATTTGTCGTTGATGTGGGCTGATCATTAGCAATGGCAGGCGGTGCACCAGCTTTAACCATTTTCACATCCTCTGTGGTGATGACTTCTGAAAAGTGTAAAGTATATGCATTATATATTTTGCAACACTTCAAACAAAATTTCGGCATATAAATTCACATACCGATATCATCCGAAATAACTTCGACTTTTTCAATAGGTTTTGTCGGCGTATCGATTATTTGTGCCTCATTACGTAAACTATGTGTGCTCCATGAGCCGTCTTTATGTAATTGTATCTCCGTATCGTCGGGTTTAAGTAGCGATGAGGCGAGTACCTCTTGAAAGTAGCTGCAATGAAGCAGACGTTAAGTTAAACATATAAAAATATTATATGCGCGCACACATGACATACCCATCAATGACCAGATTATCGTAAATGGCTGGCTTATCGCACACTGGACAATTCCATGTAGGCTTACGCTCGTTCATCTGCAGGTAAAGACTAGCATCAAAACATTGTAAATGCGAGCAAGTCGATGCACGGCATGGTATGGACATTTTCATCTTGCCCAACGGACAATTAAGCGAAACTTTAAGCATTGTCGTAGCGATTTCGCAATCTGCATCCTCAGTGAGTTTCTCTTTAACTGTAAATGAAAAAATATAGTCTTAACAAAAGCTCTCTTTTGAAGTTCGTAGGAGTTTTGCATACTTAAACCGCGCGTGTAATCGGCTGGTTTGACGCCCTTGGTCTTCATACGATGTAATAATTGCGCTGAAGTCAGCTTCTTCACCAAATATACAGCAATGCAATAGCCACGCGTATAATCCGGGCACCATTGTACTGTGATTGTGTTGGTAACAGTAGGCGAAAGCTTTACATTTGCTGTAACATTGACGGGGCGTGGTGGTCGTTTTGGTTCCACATTCGGTCTATTTGTTGGAATGACATTCTGGTAGCCAAAGCAAAAACAAAAAATTAGGGTTTAAAAATTTTTTAGAAAATTAAAAACCAAATAAAACTAAAGAACTTCTACTACTACTAACGTAACTAGAAATAAAAAATATAATTATATAAAAATTTAATTCGAAACGTAAATTCTAAATTAATAATACACAATTGAAAAGTAAAATAAGAAAAAATATTAACTTCGATTGCACCGAAACTATAATACAAGAACTTGATTTTATCGATCAGTTTGTAGGGCAGCTGTATGTATTGTAGTCCGATTAGAATTATAAATTTATCCGGAGATTGCACCGTTGGCTTGGACATTAACCCATGACGAATTTTGCGAAGATATCTTGTCAAATCAAAAAGTTTTCCTTACAAAAACTTGATTTTGATTCAGTTCAGTTTGTATGGCAGATGTATGCTATAGTGGTCCGATATCGGTTTCGACAAATCCGACAAAATTAGCAGGTTCTTGTGGAGAAAAGGACGTGTACAAATTTTCAGGTCGATATCTGAAAAACTGAGGGACCAGTTCGTGTATATACAGACAGACGGACATGGCTAAATCGACAAAGCTCGTCGTGCTGATCAATTATATTGTTTATAATTTGTAGGGTCTCCGAAGGAAATAAAAAAATAATGAAGAGAATTAAAGCTTTAGTAATAAATTAATATATAATATAGGCTAATAAATTTATTCAATTAAAATTTTTAATTGAAACTATATCAAATACAAAATATTTAAAAAATAATATTACAAAAATATAAAAAAAATCTAAAAACATATATACATAATAATAAAAAAATATAAAATTTTTTTTTTTATATATACACAAAATAAAAATAAAAACCAATATATTTTAAATATTATATTAAAAAAAATATTAAAAAATATATATAAAAAAAAATTTAAAAAATATGAAAAAAATAAAAAATATTAATATAACTTAGCAAACATACATAAATTAATTTATTACAATTATTACAACTAAATTGTATACAAACATATACATATATATCGCAACATAAATCAATGTTTATAACTATACTTAAATAAACAATATAATAAAATAACAAACAGTTTTATAAAATAGAATTAATAATATTAAATAAAAACGAAATACTGTGTTCACCACATAATCCACCTACCGGCAGTTGGCACAACTTATTGTTGACCTTTACGCTGACACTGGGCGGAAAGCAGTCCTCTTGTTCGCATGATGTTTCTAATAAACAGAAACGTAGCTGCACTTGTATAGCATGCTCAATTTTGTTACTGTTTCGTATGTCACGATTTGATGCAATCTCTGTGGCCTGTTGTGGTGTCAATGTAAAGTAAAAGGGTACCTCTTGTATACGCTGTGTATTGCGCGGCACAAGTGATGAAGGCTTAATCAGCACCCCCAGTACATCATAAAAAGCTAGTTTCTTAAGACGTACGTCTGGATGTATCGGTATATGTGTGGGTATGGGATTCATAAATGGTACCATGTTGTTGGCAACACCGGGCCCAGTTGGCGGCACACCGGCGATTGGTTGGGCACCAACAGCTGTTGGTTGACCGGCATTAGGCAGACCAGCTGCTGGATTGGGCTGCACTTGTGGCATTTGCATATGTGAATACATTCTTTTTGGATCTGTTGGCCCGTACTGTTGAGCCTGCTGCTCCGCACTGTAATAGATGTCGTATATTTTATTTTATTTTATTTTATTATCTCAACAAAAAATTTTGTGAACTTACATTGATTGTGTGTAAACTTCACGTATTTTATGTGACAATAAGTCGTAGTTTGTATGTAATAGATTAATGATGCGCCGTTGTAAGTCGATTTTACGCCCAGCAAACGAAATGTTCAAAAATGATAGTATCTGTTGCAGCTCTACTACACGAAGCAAATTTATCATTTCCTCACATTCCTAGAAAAAACAAAAATAAACAGAAAACATATATGTAGAGAGAAGTAATATAGTAAACACATACATGATATATATTCTCAACATCCAGACCCAGCGTTAGTTTAAGCAGGTTTGGGGTATGTGAAGGTTGTATCTGCAGACTTACATGTCATAATTTGCATGAAGAAAATTAATAAACTTTTGATCTTATTGATTGACGATTCTTAAACTTTCAAAAATTGGGTTTGCCTGTAAACAACTCTAGTAATACCATATTGATAAATAATAATTTATTTACTCTACTCTTAGAGACATTCATATTTATAGAAATAATAATCTACATTTATAGGACTATTAAGATACAAATTAAAATATTTTTTCATGAAAAATTTCTGAGAGAATTTTAAATCAAATTTCGTTTGAATATTTTGTGGATATTTTTGTTATTTTTATTGTATAAAACTGAACCTACACACTGAGGTATATTACAGTAGCCGTCCCAAAAGACACCGGAGAAACTAGGTTAGAAATAGCTTTGAATATTTAAATATCACGTATTATACCTGATGCGAACTATGACTATATTGTTAACTAAAAGCATATTTGTATGCTCTCCAAATTGTACAATGCATCGAGAAAATCACCCACAAGTGTCGGGGAAGCACCCACGCCATTGCGACCTGATATAAGTTTTGGTGTTTGCAAATCCTTAATTTGCATGTGCCCTTTGCCTGACTTTTCGTTCTCACCATATAACTGTTGTTTTCTTAGTTGAACTACTTTTTTTTACTAAATATATTTGAGAAAAATAATTTCATACCTGATTCAAAGTGGTATTATGCTGCCCGTATTTGTACTATTCATTCTTTCAAGTATTTACAGTAAATTATACTTTGCATTGCACACTTTCTCAACAAAAAGAGGGATGGAAAAAATTTTCAGCTTTAATCAACACATATTATTCTGCCTATTATTTATAATAAGCATTGTTTTAAAAGTCACCAACACCTTCCGAAATTTACTTTTTCTTGTAAAATAAAATTAATTTGTTCTATTTTCAGCGTAATATATACATTTACCGAGAAACTGCTAAGATTTCGTTTCATTCAACACACAAAAATTAAGTTGTCCGCAAAGAATATGGCGGCGACAGCACCGACTTCAGTTTGGTGTGAATTAATTTCCCACTATTTTAGAAAACAAAATCTCGTTTGGAACGGTCTGAACACACCCAACGATTGTATTCGACGATGAAATATCAACACAACAAAGCATGATAAATAGAGAAGAAAAGGGAGAGACAAACTTAAAATATAGAAGATGCAGTTAAACAATTTATATTAATACTTACTCAAATTATACGACTATGTATTAGTATTTTTTGTAACATTTTGTTAATTTGTTTACAAAGTTTAAGTTTTAATGACCTAATTTCAATAAAAGGAGTTAGATTTAGTTATTTCCCAAAATGTGTCTATATTATTAAAGTTTTTTAACTTAAATAAAAAAAATTATAGATATTGAACTTTAATATTTGTTATTGTTCAGGATAGAAACGTCAACTAACATGTGATTTTACACGATGTACAGATTGCTAATAAAATTTATTTATACTTACGTTCATTTTAAGTTACTTAAATATTGTACACATTATTATTGTCTACGCCAAAACTGTTAAAAATATTAAATTACTTTTATCAATTCGATAAATTCATAAACGTGTACGTCAACTATAAGGCGCGCAAAGAAGAAAACACACCTATGGGTTTATAAGGACAGCTGGTCACGAAATAGCGGGATTTTTGACAGCAACCAACGCTTTGTGTTGTTTTTGCATTAAACAACTATAATTTTCATTAACAAAAAATGCGTTTAACATTGGATTGTTTTGAACCCCCATAAGCCAAAGCGATAAAGTATATCTTTCCATGATATTTAAGCATACCTTGATTTTGAAATGTTCCGTTTGTTGAACAATGCGTTTCTGTGCACTTACGGCAGCAATCTGGATATTTTGAGGCATGCGATTACCCGTGCTCATGTTTTGTGCTCCACTGTTCTCTGTCGATGAAACAATGGATGGTGAATTGGATGTGGAGGCCGTACGTCCCGCATTTGCCATTGCGGCCTCCGCCTGAGTTTGAGAACGAGTTTTACGCATCGCACCGGCACTCGAAATATCAATGCTTCTGCACGCACACAATAATCAAAACTTTAAGGGCAATTATTACACACATAAGCCAATGCACAGAAATTTTGGTCTACGTTTGGCGTACCTTTGCTACCACCAATCACTATACAAGCTACTATATTGTTACGCCAGGTAGTATGCGATTACCAATAATAAACAACTTTTGCACAAATCTCTACACTGGCCAATAGCGACAATCAAAAAATGTCAATTAAAAACATTTGACAGCTAAATATGATTAACAGCAGCGATTTAACAAATGCGGTGTTTTCTGATATCGCCGTGTGTTTGCTTTTCAATCTCTTCCGAAATTCTAGACATCTTTTTTTACTTGTAACAAAAAAAAATCCCACTATTTTCGCTTTCATTGATTATTTTCTTAAATCCACTGAACAGGCCATTGAACGACTGTGTCGTTGCCGTATAATTGTTCTCGATTCAATATTATGCCATATATTGTTGCCACCTGCTTTAAAATGGTGGAAGTAAACAAGATTCCGGTTTCGGTTCATCACTGCTCTGCAGTTTAAGCAGAGAACTTAGAAGAACTATAAAAAAGTTATAAAAGCGAGAAATGTTATTTGTTTCTCGTGCATGTGAGGTGAACTCCTTGATAAAATCCTACAAATTGTTCGCTGTCGAACCTGCAGCTTCTCGTCCATTTACGTTCTCTGGTTTAAGCTCTACTCTTTGCATAAAATGTATAGGTAAAAGAGATAACACGCTTATACACTTAAAGCCGATACAAGAATGAAAGTGGTTACCTCAAATGGTTTAACTACTTTTAACGATCACTATTGGATAATACCCGTTTATTGCATTTATACCAATCCTATGGAATTCGTCACTCTCCAAAATTTGGTGAATCGAAGACTACTAAAAATATTTAGAAAAATAAAACTAATATTCTATGTATGTATATACATATATTTACTTGTATTTACCGAAATGCGTTATATATATGCTTAAATATATTTTTAGTCTAATCTGAATAAATTACGACTGTCGTTTGTACGACAAGAAACGTTTTTCTATAACATTCGACTTTGCAAATTTCGTTTGTCCACAAATATACACATTTTAAATATGCACATACGTATATACTTTACATAATCGTTTGTGTATAAATCAACTTACTTGTTTGAATTGTTTTTTTCATTCTCTATTCAACCCTATTTATATAAAATTAACGATCAGCAATATATTACATATATGTATACTTGTAACTTTTTCACTAGTTTTCGTATTTACAAACGTTGCATTTCCATAATTGAAGCTATTCGCAAGCGAATCTTTTTTTAATATTTGTATGTACTTTTGTATATTAATTAGTTACCGGAATCTTAGTTTATTATTAATAAGTTCGTATTCTACCGATTTGCAAAAAAAAACCCTAATTTACAAACATAAAATGATGCAAAGTTTTTCAGCAATCTTCAATTTTCGATATAAATTTTTATGTATACTTAATGCATATTTAGTTCGTGTGTAGAAAAGTGTTATATGTATATATATTTGCGTTGCTTTTGTTATTGTAGCTATTTTTTTCTAATTTCATGCATTACTCTACATTTCTTCATGCGATACTTTAGCTCAAAGTACCTCCTTTGTTTAAAACAAATCCATTTCACCACAATTAACATCAAGAAAATCATCCTCATAACTGACTAAATCTTTTGATGGAGATGTTAAGGCCGCTAATGCCGATGCTGAAGTTGATGGCTTATCCTGAGAGGCATCATTGTCCGCATCCGATGATACATGATTGATGGCATGCGCTTTATAATCTGGACTTTGCTCATTGCCCACAGGTGAAGGGGGTGGATTCGAAACTGCAATATAAACAAATAACATATACATAACAGATTTCATAAAAGTATTTTAAAAATTACTATTTCCCGGCTGGGTTTCCAAATCTGAACCAAGCAAGAAGTGTTCTTTGCGGGTGCTAAGTGCCGGCAAGTCTTTCTCCTGTTCACTTAAACGTTTTTTCAACTCTTCGACCTTGCGATCACGCGATAAGGATTCCATTTCTTTACGCCATTTATTAGTTCGCTGTCGATCCTCAGAAAAAATAGACTTGTGTTCTTCTAATGTAAGACTTTTATGATTTTTCAGTAGATATAGAAATACACCGCCTGGTGTACGACGACGTTTGCCATTCTAGAAAAATAGATTATTTCGGAGTATTACGAGATATGTGTACATACATATAACTTTTAAATAAAAAATGTTTTACCATTATCATCATGCCACCATTGAATTCAATAAGTTGTGTTTCCTTATAAATTTCCACTGGCAACTTCGTGCCCAAAACATCGACAATGCGTACTGCAACAGCGAATGATAAGAATCAGTATTGTATCGAAGCTTGATAGAAAACAATATAATTACCCAATAATTCATCTTTTTCTTCATGCAACTTGTTTGACATTTCACGTGCGACATCGGCTGGATCACGTCCTTCCAAGGGCTCCAAGTCAAGTATAATTCGTGGTTCGTATAATGTATCCGAGTCGCTGGTGGGTGATGAGCCACGTCTTCCTCGCAGCGTACTTGTTCGATAGCCTAAACGACTTTTCACCGAACGTCGATGTGCAGCTGCTTCACTTGCACAGCGTCCACGTTTTGCCACCGGCATTAATTCATTATCAGAGAAATCATCAGTGGAATTGGAGAGTCGGCGTTTTAGACAATTATCTCCATTCAATCGTTGAAGCAGAGAAAAGTCATAATTTTCAACGTTTCGATCATTGATTGCACCATCTAGACGTGCAACTTCACAGCCACGCATTTCTTCGGTTAACGCTTCTTCTTGCAATGCAGCTGTCCATATATTGTACTTTTTAAATCTTGCACGCTTTTCTTGTGTCTCCATATCAGCTGGTGGTACACGTACCATAACTGTACGTCGTACACGTTTTCGACGTTTACGTTGTGCATGCGCATCTGTTGATCCTTCATGTGACGAGTTCGTTGATAATTTCTTTAGACATGCATCCGAAGATTCACTTGACGATGAATCACCACTACTACCATGTATATCCTCTAAGTCATCCTCTTCTAACGCGCGTTGCATATCGTGACATGTAGCCAATGGGCTACATTGTTCGGCTATTGCAGCCGCCCCATCGAGTGCAACCGTCGTGTTGATTGACAGTGTGCTTGGGCGTTGCAACGGTGTATAAACGTCATCAGAACTAGCAGATAGCTGCAAACAATTTAGGTCAAATTAAAAATGATTGTAATTTCATAAATATCTTCACTCAAAAAAGACACATGCCATGTGCCTATATGTATATACCTCTCCATCCTCCAGGTCGACATCGTAGGTATTCGCATTTAATTCCATCATTATTGCAGCGAGATAAAGTGTTGCGTTGCACTTTTACTTACAATACCACTTTTAACGATTCACAAGAAGTAAAATATATTATACATATCTATTGGTATTTCACTTTAAACTACGGCGTGTTATAAATGGTTTTATAATTAAATCTTAATATCACTTTACAAAATGTTGATATTTTTTTTGTCTTGTCCTAACGCACGGTTTCCTTAAGAAAGTGTGTGCTACATAGGGTTGCATAGTGGATTGCAACAGAAACAGCTCAGCTGATATATAGCTGTCAAAATAAACGTAACGTACCACGCCGAAAATATCGAGACTCGAATTTTAAATACTATAATTCTATCAAATTAATTTAGTTGCAATCAGTTCTATTAATTTGAAAAAATTAAAAAAGCGATGTATATAAAGAAGGTTTTTACATAGATATTGCCATATCTTATACGTACAAAAAAATTAGCTGCAAGTGGTGAGCTTCATTAGATTTTAATTAACTGTTTGTAAAATAAAAATCCTTCGAGAATTTAGCCCATATGACTCTTTTCTTCATCTCCATAAACGAGGTTAGCTCCAGTATACAAGATATTCACAAATTAAATCCTTAAAGTTTGTCTCTCTTACTCTCTCACTTTATAAGTTGTATTTCTTACAATAGATTTCAAATATTTTTTTTATAATTTCACAAAAATTTCATTAATAGTTTTGGGGAGTGGTTTCAAAGCTACCAATAATAATTATTATATTTAATATATTTTATAAGGATTAAAAGTGTCCGCTCATTCGGAACACCTGAAACTAAAAGATCGGCCAAGGACAGTTATTTCGCATATTTAGGTGATATGATATGCAGGCACACATTATATGGCTTGATTTTCAAAACCTTCCTACCAATTTTTAAGGGTGTGAGAGATAATGAAGGACATTTCCGCAAGACTATCGTATCTTCTACTGTTTGCTTCATCTCAGTTGGAAAATTGCCGGACATTCCTAGTTTTCCGGCAGAATTAGCAAAAGGGAAAAGTTGTTGGCTATATAGAAAGCAATCGGCCGGTCATATATTATGCAAAATTTTCAATCGGGTCACCTAAATCCATTAGGATGCAGAAAAAGAATTCTTGCTTTTCCTTATAAGAGAAGCTTTGGGCGCAACCCCAGGCAGTAAGAGCCATACACAGTGAGTGCCTTTCTAAAAAATCCGCCAAATAGTTTAGCTTACCGTTACAACAATAACAACTCCTACTGGAACAAACACACATCCCTATTTTTTAATCAAGCTGTTTCAAACGAAAGTTTGGATTCCCTTTTTTCCAGAAAATTTAATTTTATTGGTAAAAATTATTTATTTCAACTGATTCCTACTAATCTTTTGCTAATCGTAATTTCGAGGAATTATTTAATATACTTTATATATATATAATATATATGCA